TTTTAGATTATTTAAACAATAGAGAATTGTTCAGGTTTGATATAATTTTGAATTAGTTATATTTTAGTTTATTTATATGAAGAAGAAATACTCTACATAATCCATGTTTGTGAGTAAATATCTTTAATATAAAGTCTTTTTGATTCCGATGGAAGATAACATATCCATTACTACTAATAAGCTAAAATGAGGCGAACTAATAGACTTACCTTAATTACGTATGATCAATAAAATTACTACCAGACGGCTGTTTAAATGTTTGCCGACTTTATAAGTAAACTCTTTTTCGGTATGAACACACATTTGTATTGTACCTACAATTTTGTTCTAGAACTGAAATTATATTACATATTTATTTTATTAATAATAAATGTTTTATCGTTATGAGTTATAATATTTGAAACATAAAATTTAGTGTAAAATTTTATCCTTATTGATAATTTATTATCCTACATAATTTCTTTGTACGTGATTATCATTTTTTTGTAAAATATATATTTTGTTATACAGGGTTGTTCACCACATACGACACGGAGTATTGTAGCTAATCGATTAGATTTTTACAAATTGTAAGTTTTGGGTTCGTTGAAGGACTATTAGAGCTACAATTTAAAAATATTTTTACAAGGATACAGAGTGTCCCAAATAAATAAAAAATATCAAACTTGTATTTTTAAAATGGGAACTTACCCTGTGTATTATTACATTTTAGTTTCTACGATTAAAATAAAAGGTAAATTTGATAGAGGTTTATTACACTTAAACCTTACCGTTTTTAAATCTTTTCAATTTTGTGAAATTGCTTAGTCCCAACATTTAAGGCTTCATTTCTCCAAAAGGGTATCAAAGTTTAATACTAAATATTTACTGAAGTTTATTTATTGATCAGTTATTGTGTTGCAATAATATAAAATTATACTACCTTATACAGAGTGTCTAAAATTTTATTTTAAATAATTACACTAGCTTTAAGCAGCAATAACTTGTTTAATTTAAATGGAACACCCTGTATATTTTATGAAATCAGATGCACAATTTAATTGTCTATCAAATTGTATTATACCATTTTTACCTATAGCTTCAAGTTTCCGTGAAAATGCATTTTCTTATAATTTTAAATTCATTTATCAATATATCCATGGAAGACTGACATTTTTAGATTATTTTAAAGATGTACCAAATTTTTAAAGTACAGATACTAATATTCTCGATATACTTTGTTTATTTCATTAAAAAAATAAAAAAAAACTGTTTAAATATTTGTTAAAAAGGACCAATTAAAATGATTCCAAGTATTCAAACTACATTAATTGACTGTTTGCGTTGATTAATAATAATTGCTCAAAAACTAAAAAATGAATTTTTATGTTAGTATTAGACAATTAATGATAAAAAGTAACACCTTAAAAATGATATTTCATTTTTTGACAAATGCTTATTTGTAATAACAGAGACATTCATTTTTATAACTTATTATTATATTGATTTCTGATTCAAATCCACATTTATTTTGAATAATTTATTCACGAACATAATTAAGTATGTAATTAATTAGTATTTGGGCGGAAATAATGGTGGTATATTTAATTAATGGTATACTCTTTTATGAAGATTTAAATAGTTTTTTCTTTTTGCATACAAATGGGCTGAATTATATTATCATTTTGTTAAAAACAATAATATTACTAGCCTGTACATTTTGTACATTTGTTGCTTTAAAAACAATCTAAAATGTCAATATTCCATGGATTTATTGATAAATGAGATCTAAATTATAAGAAAATGCATTTTCTACGAAAACTTGAAGGGATAGGTAAAAAGTGGTATAATACAATTTGATAGACAATTAAATTATGCATCTGATTCTCCTAAAATATACAGGACGTTCTATTTAAATTAAACAAGTTATTGCCGTTTAAAGCTAGTAATTATTTAAAATAAAATTTTAGACACTCTGTATAAGGTAGTATAATTTTTATTATTGCAACACAATAACTGATCAATAAATAAACTTCAGTAAATAGTTAGTATTAAAAACTTTAATACCCTTGGAGAAATGAAGCCTTAAAATTTTTACTGCAATTTCACAAAATTGAAAATATTTCCAAAACGGTAAGGTTTAAGTGTGATAAACCTTAATAAAATTTATCTTTATTTCAATCGTAGAATCTAAAAATGTAATAATATACAGGGTGTTCCATTTAAAAAAATACAACTATAGCTTTTTTACTTATTTGGGACAGTCTGTATCTTGTAAAATTATTTCTAAATTGTAGCTCTAATAGTCCTTCAATGAACCTAAAACTTAAAATTTGTAAAAATCTAATCGTTTAGCTACAATACTCCTTGTCGTATGTGGTAAACACCCTGTATAAATTAAATTAATCGTTTACATATAATTTTAATTACATGTGAATAATATATAAAATATCTGTGAACAATACCAGTAATATAGATGTTTTCCTGTTTGAACAAATGATATGTACAAAAATAAATGTTTAAAGATTAAGACAAAAATGTAAGTTACGAACTGTTAAATTTTCATGTTTAAATATCGTACATAAAATCGTTAATATTATTAGATGTATTTTCCATATTTAACTTAATTTTTGAATATTTTAGAAACTTTTATTGTTTATTATTAGCTTAAAGGCTATATATATTCTGTAGTTTTTAAGTGTTACTACCTTGAGGGTTTCCGTCCTTTCACCAGCCTAATAAGAGCTGAAAAAACACAGAATGCGCTCAAATAATTATACAAAGTTCGTATATATGTTAATATTTTATTCATATGAACTATAACCTTTGCTGTAACATTAACAGATCTTTGCAAACTCAAACCAATGATAAACATCTACTCGTTATAAAATAGGTATAAGATTGATATTGAAAATTTGTTAAAAGTCAAAATCATTGCAGGGAAGTGTGATTTCCAATTTAAATTGGCATTTATTTAATAAATAAATTATTGTTGTTATTAATATGTATATGCGCTTAAAAACTTCAACTTGGCTACGAGAAGGAAGAAATTTTTTTTAGAACCGTTTTTTTTTTCGGTACGCCCCTGTTTTAATCATACGGTACCTATTCATAGAATCCATTCCATCATATGGAATTTTTTTGAAGCGAAACTTTACACGCGATGTGAGTAAAAATTCAAGGCTGTGACACGACACGGCCTTGACACACGAGCTAGCGAGAAAGAAAGTGGTAAGTCACTGAGGAAGAGATGAGATTTTGAGATTGTTCTTTGGAGCGTCGTAACTCGGGCCCTATGTGATCTTTTAATGATATTTTGACGAAGTTTCGTGCATTACGAAACCCCATCGTCAATGAATCAAATTAAAATATCGTCCGATTTAAATGAAATTTGGTATGTCGATAGATTGGACCAAGGCCAACTTGACCGTGTACGACACGTGTCACTGTGACAGTTAGTTTTGACGTAAGAAACGTCAAAAGTTGACGTCGTCCGATCGCGAACAACGTCGATCCCAACCCACCCAGCAAATTTGGATACGACGTTTCGTTTACATCTTCATCAGAGTGGGACTAAGGATTTGATATTGAAGAAACATGTGGGTTGATTTCGGTATAATTAGGGATGGCCTACAGGATGACGCTCTCGACGTTTCGAACCGATGAGATTAGACAAAATTTGACTATGGCGTTAGATTTTGTTTTGAAATCAGATTGAAATAGTGAAGTAGATTAAAAATGACATAATAAAATAAACCTGTTGGATATCTGTCAAATTTGACATTTAAAGTAATACATGGTAAAAAAATGACTTTATTGGACGAATTTTAAAAGTGCCTATTCGAAAAAAAAGTTTCTAAAATAGTTTGTTTCTTTTTTATTTTTAGCTGTAAGTAGCTAGCACTACTTTTAATTTGACAGATCTCTTATGTAATTTTTAATATTAGTTAAAGCAGAAACTATTTTCTAATTTCACTATTAATCACAAGTTATCTGTGACACTGTATGACGGACGATATATACCGGGTGTATCTCAAAAGCGACTCACCCCTATAATTTTTTTATTTTTTTAGATAACAAAACGAGATTCGGTATGTTAATATATGACATAAATTAGGATTGATTGACGTATTCAATTGTTTTTAGTCACTTCCTTTTTCACCGGAAATAACTACACGTTTTGATTTTTAAATGGTACCCTCGGTATTTTTTTACTTTATTCGATAAAAAAATGGCAGTCTGAATAGAATGACATATCATATGTCAATTTTTGACGTTTTGCATATGGTGTATTTGAAATTATAACTTGCGGTTCGTAACGAAAATTTGACTCGAAATACAAAGTGTGTGGTATCAAATTATTCGTAAATAAATGCTTTTTCCAATTATGCTAATGAGCCACCCTCGTTCCATTTGAAATAATTGAGATATGGTTAAAAATACGATTTGTGCATTTTTCAACCGCCCAGGACAAGACACGAAAAACATTAGACGATCAAATCTATTTTTCCAAGACTCCTTGAATAAAAATTCGTGTTTTTGACACAACCATGGCACTCTAGATTGAAATTTAAAATACGATTTTTTTTAAAGCGAAAATATCAAAAGTTGACATATGATATGTCATTCTATTCAGAGTGTAATTTGTTATCGAATAAAGTAAAAAAGTACCGAATACCGTCATTTCCCGTGAAAGGGGAAGTGACTAAAAACAATTGAATGCGTCAATCAATCCCAATTTACGTCATATACTAATATACCAAATCTCGTTTTTTTATCTGAAAAAATAAAAAAGTTATAGAGGTGAGCCACTTTTGAGACGCACCCGGTATATGTGAGTGGATCTCGTCTACCTACTACTATTCTTTCACCTAAATTTTATGACATTTTTTGCAAACTTTATTATTTTTATTTTTTATTTAGAATTGAAAGATATTTATTAGATTTAAATTCATGAACTCAAATAGAAATAAAGTAGATAAGAATTTCTAAAAACTATTAATTTATTATTTATCTTCTAGTTCTGGTCCTATTTACTTTTACGGAATCACTAAATGTCAATAAGGGGACCTCACGACCCAGGAGGCCCACTGTCGAAATCCTCACGACAACAACCAAAGCACCGAAGGATGATAGCGGCGCTGCTCTTTATAGATTCATTAATCGGAATACCGACGCTACATGTATTTTGCTGAAGACAGACGGCGTTGTTGAGGTAAGACTAAGTGGGAAATCTATATGTTACAGTAAAAGTTGGAAATCAGTGATTGTTAACAATTACTAGTAAAAGCTCACATTCACTGATATGCTAAGACTACGCCAGTAAAAGTCCGACACCTATTCTTGAAATCAACTTTTACTAGTAAATGCTAGCATTCCCTGGACGATAGCAGTGAGTTTGAAAGTATAAAATAATAAATACAAGAAGAAGTGTCAAGTCAATGTTAAATTATGGAAACAGCGTGGCTGCCTGGGTAACTAATTTTCAGATATGGCGGCTGACATGACCATAACAATTAAATTTATAGAAATTTATTTCCGAACGGTTTTAATGGCGGGCTGTTCAGGAGGTTTAAATGAGGGTTAATATACTTACTCTTTCTAGTATTAAATAATACAACAAAAATTACTCAAAAATATTTATTTGGAATTTAGAACAATGTAAATATGCAAACCAACACAATTAAAGAGCTATAAACATATAAACTAAAACCCATCCGTATCAAATATTTAAATAACATCAGAGATGCTGTGTTAAAGTGAATTAGTAAAGTAACAGTGCATTGACTTACAGAAACTTGAAGGTAAATAAATGTTTCCACAACTACGGGCATAAAACTTAAATAACTGGAAGCAGGAAAAGGCAACCGGAACCCACCCAAAACCTGGAATCAAAAAATATGTAAAAAACATAAATATAAGTACATACGACTTTTGTAAATTAAATCAACAGGACTTGAATGAAAATAAAATGAATAAAAAATATGATACATATACATCTAATACCTCATTTGTGTTTTAAATAATCTACATACATAGATTTATAGCATTATTGCTATGACCTCTATGTACCTATGTGATATGTAATTACGCATTTCTGTTCATCTTGTAGAAAATTAATGTAGGCTAATAATAGTTCAATAATATAATTTACCTTGTATAACTTGCTTTCAATTGCTCAAAATCACCCATCAGTCTTTAAAGTAGAGATACGGAAAAATCCTTGGCAAAGAATGTCCCAAGATCCTTAGGTTTAAAGCTAAAAAAATATAAAAACAGTTAATATATTACCAGCTATATTGACAGCCATCTGTCCTGTCAAGAGACCTATTGTGATCTGCACTTTATCCCTGCTGAGCATTACCAGTTCTTTTTTGGTTTTAGAATTAAGTCAATATATGAAGGCCTTGCTGCGCCTGTGCCCCTGTCTGTTTCTCTGGACGGTTTGCTTTTCTCTATTCCAGAGTTTTACTGCACTATGGGTTATACATTTGGGTATTCCCAGTACTGACTCTGGACCATTCATAGATTACCGATGATCCTTGTATTGTCAGTTCATCGACTTCTACCCGAGTAGGGTACTGGGCATATATTAAATGGAATGGAACAGAACAAAATCAATATAGTGCCAACTCCTTTATGACGCTGATGCGAGACATCTACATGTTCTTGATTCTAATGTTATTTTAAAAATTGGGTTCCGACCATTGTATATTGTGCTTAATATTGATTACTTCATATATGTTCTTCTGTAGGGGATATCGTGGTGTAGTTTGTTGATTTCTTTCTGTCCTGAATATATTGGTATTATGATCTCTTTGTCACTGATAAAATGCTTTAGAAGATAGTTAGGAGAAGGTGTTAATCACCACGACCTTACAGGTCACTATTATGTGTTCCCATTTCTTGAGTTGGAACGAGTTATAACTCATCATACAATCTCATTTTGACAAAAGCGTGTATCTGACGGCTCCACAGAGGTCACCTCTCCATCTTCGACATCAGCCGTACCAAAGTTTATAGCACTAATGGTTGTCGTTTCGGAGGTGTTTGTGGTGTTCTGATGTTTCCCATTTTCCTCCACAGAATCTGCATTCGCCGTTGATTCTCAGCTTCAATCTGTAATTTCGTTGAGGAGACCTGAGTGCCCTGTTACAAACCCGTAACAATCCGGGTGTTTTACTTAAATCAAGGGAAAATCTTTGATTTTCGTCGATGGATTTTGAGAACTTTTTTGAGTGACTTAACATGGGATGATTCAGGTTACGGATGGAGTTTCCCAGATTCTTCAATTTCCTTTAAGTTGGTTTCCATAGGAAGCAGAACGGTTCTGGTCCAGTTGGTGGGAGTGTTCGCCCTTTTTCTAGCCAGATCGTTTGCTTGTTCATTTCCTTTTCTATCCTTGGTGACGGCTCAATGGAAGAACTTTATTTTCTTCCCCTAATTTATTCTTCTCTATAGACATTCTTTGACCAACTTTGGTGGTAGTTTACTGAGTTGATCGCTTTTAATGTTGCTTTACTATCGGATAAGATGGCTATTTCATGATTTCGAAAGTTTCTATCTAGGATAAATTGTCAGCTTTCTCTAGCGTAGATTTGGATGCTGGGGTAGGTGCCAATTGGTTCGTAGTATTTAGGTTTCGACCCAAATAATCTATCCCTGTGCCTGCTTTGGTTTGGAAGCATCAGTACCACAATATGGTATGGTTTTTACATGCTGAGCATTTCAATCTTTTTTATTGCTCAATTTTCAGTCCTTTTTATTGTTAACTGAAATATGGTATTTTCGACCACCAAACAGTTTTTTAGTTTTATATTGAATATACTAAAAAATAGGTCATATTGGTGTAGGTGGACATAAAAATAGAATAGAACAAACGTGATTTATCCAAATATTTCTGGTTTTATTTTTAGTTGTTGTTTATACATTTTTTAACAAAAGTTGAAAATATGTTTAAGTTTTTGCAATACTGTTTTCTCTGTATTTTATTATTTACATATCAGCTATATATATGTAGGAGATTTGATTTTGATAATAGAGATGATTGGTTTTTTAATATTTAAAATTTTATTTTATTCTTGGCGCTAGCAAGAAAATGTTAATAATAATTTAGATTAGAAAACATAAAAATATTGTTTCTAATATAAAATATCAAAGTTTTTTTTTTTTTTTGTAAAAATTTAGGATATTTCTGTATTATCTAAAAATATAATAGCTGAAAATAAATATAAATTTGTTTAAATTTAAAAATTGCATTTTTTCGATATATCCACACATTTTATGACACAAAATAATATAGCCAATTTAGGTAGACATTTAGGTATGCTATATTAACACTTTAGAAGATAATATTAAAACAGTTACTAACCGCAGTAAGATTAACTCGTCATGCAATGTTATGCGGGTCAGACCAAGCAGACAGCATTTCTGCGACATTTTGTCTCATTTTTGTTTGTTTCAAAATTCGGGGACTTTTCAATGTCCCGTCTCGTATTGGTAAAGATCAAAGTGTCATGTTTTGTTCGTATATTTGACGACAAGTTGTCGGCGCTGCTGCCAGCAGTAGGAGACCAGTGAAATCACATATGGTTAATGAAACTCATTCGCAATTTTGAGTTTGTTGTACTTTTGTCCTTGCGGTGTGGACAATTTGTCTCAAGTTTTGTGTGCCAGGGTCCCCATTTTTTTGTCGCATGTTTGTCTTGTTTTTGTCTCAAAATCGTGTTTACTTTTTTTTGTCGCCGTGGTCTGGACCCGGTATTACGATTTAATGAATACTTGTCCTGTTTTGTCCTAGATTTCTGAATTGACAAGTGTTGATTACAGGTTAACTTTCTACTTCATGGACTGGAAGAACAAGCCGATTCCTTTATCCCAGAAAACGCTATGGTTACTGGAAACTGTGCCAAAGAAGATACTGTTAAGATGAATATAGGATGGACTGGTTATAGTTTAGCGCTAACATTTGATAAGGTTTGTATATTAATAGATTTAGATATGAAAGAAAATATTATTTTTATAGGTACTTACCAGAAATTTATTTTAACTTTTTTTATTGTCTAGTATTTATGTTCTAGTATACTATAGTTCTAATGTTTATTTAATTTTTTTAGACTCCTGGTGGAGATCACTGGTACTTGTCCAATGTCGAACTAACAGTAAGCATTATCGATAATGATAAATTTAATGGAATCAAAACTCGAGGTATATAACATAATTGAATAATCTTATTTATTTAAAACGGTATTTCATTATAAAACGTATATACAAGGGTGGCGCCTCTCATACGCCGCAAGCTCAAGTAGAACGGTAGTTTATATCGAAATGAAATTTCGGCTTTAGCATATGTTAAGGTTAACTGAAAGCATTTTATAAAATATACAGAATTATACAGGGTGCCCCCAAAAAGTTACACATCAAAGTTGTGTTTTTCCTCGTTTTTTCTAATGGAACACCCCTATATATTCAATTGTTTTTTTTCAGATTCTAGGAAAAAATAAATGTGAGTTTATTAAAGAAGCATATACCTAAAATCTAAGGATTTTGACATATTTCACATTTATAAGCTGAGAATAAATTTTAAGTGATAACAGCTACCTAAATTTTAGTTGACTTTGTATAGCCTGATATTGAATTACAGTAACCATTGTATGTTAAACCAAAATTTGACCGAAAAAAGTTATACAGGGTGAGACAAAATTAATATGGAACATTAACATCCTTTTAAAATGCAATGATTCTCCTTTATTTTAAATGGAACACCCAGTATATTTTGGGTGTTCAATAGGAAATTATATATCTTCAAAATATTGATCAAGGTTGCCTATCCCTCACACAATGATTTCCACAGATATTTTAATTTATGATTTTGCGTCAGTAAATCTTTATTATTGAAAAATTTGGGTGGCTGTATGATATACCTTTTGTTAATTTAACAAAAATTAAAGGTGTAAGTAAAATACTCAAGTGTAATAAACAGATACGTTTAAACCATATTTTAATTAACTACAGAATTAAAACTAAAAAAAAAAAAAAAAAAAAAAAAAAAAAAAAAAAAAAATAAAATGCTCAAAATGCTTCTTTTCTTGTTAACTGCACAAAATTATTGTCTTTTTATGAGGATCTTTTCATTTTAGAGAGCATATGTGAGTTCTACCTCGAAAAGCAGCTACTATAATTTCTCTCATGTTGTCGACATTAGTTGGTCGAGTTTTGTAAAAACTGTCTTTAACATATATCCCCATAAAAAAAACCCGACTAGATAAAATCAGGGGCATTTAAGTATTCTATTAATTTGTGTATGCACAATGCACACTGTATTCACCTAGATTCATATCAATCCTTTCTGATGTAGGATAAGTTTGCATTTTTGGCATATTTCTGAGATTTTTTTTGTTTTAACTGACACAAAATTATAACTGGTTGTTAAAGTTAGACTAATTAGACAGCTATGTTGAAGTATCGTCAGACATATCACCAGCCACCTAGATTTTATCAAATAATTTTTTTTTTTTTCTATATAAATTTTTAATCTAGAAAATATCTAGGAAAATCATTGTGTGTGTGTGAGGTAGGCAACCTTAATAGTATTTTGAATAGACATGAATTTCTCATTGAATATCGGAATAATATACTGGGTGTTCCTTTAAATAAGAAAGTAACATGCTTTTTAAAGGTGACCAATGTTGAATATTAATTTTTGTCTCAGCCTGCACTAGTAGTTATAAAAAGCATTTTTAGTAGCTCTATAATAGTTTCTGAAAAAATAAATTAATTTTTTAAAACATCACGATTAAATTAATATCTCCCAACTAAAGTTCCAAGAAAGTCGTAATATATCTACAAATTAATTTACCCACTAGTAGATATAAAAAAGCATTTTTTTTTTTTTGTAAACTCTGTCTCTAATAGTTTCTAGAAAATAAAATTATTTTTTTAAAAATGTCCGATTAAATGAATATCTCCGAAACTAAAGTTCCAAAAAAAATTCGTAATATATCTAGAAATTAATTTACCCACTAGTAGTTATAAAAAGCATTTTTGGTAAACTCTGTCTCCATGGATTTCTAAAAAATAAAAATAAATTTTTCAAAGGTCCGATTAAATTATCTCCAAAACTAAGTTCCAAAAATTCGTAATATATCTAGAAATTCATTTACCCACTAGTAGTTATAAAAGCATTTTGGTAAACTCTGTCTCTAATAGTTTCTGAAAAATAAAATTAATTTTTAAAAATGTCCGATTAAATGATATCTCTGAAGCTTTAAAGTTTAAAAAAAGCTATTAATATATCTAGAAATTCATTTTACCCACTAGTAGTTATAAAAAGCATTTTGGTAAACTCTGTCTCTAATGGTCTGAAAAAATAGAAATTATTTTTTTAAAAATGTCCGATTAAATGAATATCTCCGAAACTACAGTTCCAAAAAAATTCGTAATATATGTAGAAATTCATTTTACCCACTAATAGTTATAAACACAGCCATACCAAACTTTGCTGGATCAAATTTAATTTGATTTAAAGTACGTACAATAGTTAATTTAACTACATATTAGGTACTACGGGAAATTCAAATCAAGGTAGCTTTAATAGATACAGAAAATTTTGTACAAAAAAAATATTTTTTTCAATTTAAAAAATTGTTCTTTATTTCTAGAAAATGTTATATTGTCAAAAAACCACATTTTAGTCATATACTTCTCTTATAAAACTCATCTTTATTTTTCTCCCAGAATTCGAAAATCATATATATACTATGGGTGTTTCGTTACCAAAAACCTGGTGATATGTAACTTTTTTGGGGACACCCTGTAGAACTCTTAATATTTTAAAAAGTGCTCTGAATTAGCCTATATATGCTCCTGAGAATTTCATTTCAGCCTGGCTTCTAGAACTTCTCCTTGGGGCATCCGCGGCGTATGATAGGTGCCACCTGTGTAATCAAAAAAAAACGACATCAAAAACGGCTCGGGAAGCACAATACCAACAATGACCGACAGAAATTGACGTACTGAGGCTTGACTTCGCCGCGTTATCATCATTTGTCATTCTAGCCGTCTTTGGTACTCGTTTTTCGATCATTTGGCACATAATATAGGTATACTAATGCCCAGGTATTAAACGCAAAATTTCTTTGTCAAGATCTTTTTATAAAATATATTTAGAAAAATTTGTCAGTGTTAATATACAATTTTTTTATAAATCCACACATTACACTGTCTAATTCTACATAAAACATTTGTTAATTAAAATCCCCAGACAAAGAAATTTGAGAGTGTAATAGTAGTCTAAGTAACATAGAAGTGCGAACACTCTATAATATGATTTTATTTCATTAGTTCTTACTCCTTAATTCTTCTGATCTAGTATAAGGGTCGATTAAAATATGAACTTTACCAGTTTAATATCTTTTTTGTGTAATTTATTCTTGCATAAGGTATCTGATTTCTTTAACTGTAAAAAAACTGGGGTGACTTAACCCCGAAAAGATACATGATAGTGACAGTTGTTGTCTATCTCTTTCACAGGTAAATTAGATTTTTTAAAGGTGAACTGATTTTATTTTGATCGTTTAATAAAATATTCCCTGACCCTTTGGACAGACTTTTTCTACTGTTCTATTCAGACGCCTAAATTGAAGTTTGTCATTATTTCCAGAACATATTTTTACAACTATTCTTCCTTTTTAGATAATACTCTTAAACTCTACAGCAGTAAAATGTTGATACCCACCCCGGTGGGCAAATCTTACTTGTGCCCTCGCGTGAGTATTCCTTTGGAAACCGACGAGGCCGATCATCCTCCGAAAAATGTGCATGGATCGCTACTCCTGAGGCTGCTTCAGGTCCGAGCTTTTATATCCGCGATGAAAATTTCTCTACGCCGTTCGAGTGTAAATCTCAAAGGAGCTTTAGGCAAGTTTTGGCCATAATAAACAGCTAGTTAGCGCTATAAAATATTATATTGTTACAGTCCATGAAATAGTGCAGCAGAACATTATTTCTTTGTAGTTGGATAAATAAAAAATGAACATTTTTTGTATTTAAAGCATTTTAGAATTTTTAGCGGTTCCATTTAAAAAAAAACGAAAAGAAATACTATTTTATATTTTAGAAATTTTGGCATAGAATTTTGAACACCCTGTATGATTTAAGATTATAATATTTATATCAAAGTAAGTACAGGGACCAACTATAGTAAATACCTAGTATAGTTTTGATTTCAGAACATTTCTTGTATTTTTAAAAAGGCTAAAAAAATATTTTTTTATTTACTTATTAATATTTCTGAAACTTTGAAAACATATTTAATAATATCTAAAGATTATGTAAAGTAGTCAGAAAGGAAGTCAAAAATGCAGTAATATACAGGGTTCCACTATTTAAAAAAAATATCCTGATGCACTCACACTTTTTTAAGCCACCATGTAGGAGTTGAATTTTTTTCCAGAAATACATCCTAAATACAACTAGCTTCTACATCCCACTAGTCAACTCGCATATCCAACAATGACATATACCGTATGATCTTGGAAATGAACATCGATGACATTCCCCATATACTTTATTTGGTTAATAAATAAGTGAAATGAATACCAGTATTTCTAATAGCAGTGTTTGCTGCGAATGTAATCGCAGTTTTGTGTTTTTTAGTCAATGGCGGCTCGTGACCCGTGTGACTGGGTAGGCAACAAAATTTGGTGCGTCTATTTGCCCTTCCTCTCCCCCAATTTACATAATAAGCCCAGTTTGGCAAATGATGTAATATCTATTTATATCGTCTTCTTGCACCGAATAAAATAACGCACTCTTTTATTTCGGATTCTTTTATTTCTGTGGCGTGTTCTAAAATACAACCGGTTATATCATTTTAATAATCTCGGACAAGCCGAAAAATGTTTCCAATTTGCTTTAAACGTTTTTGAATTTTCATATAAAAGTTTTTATATTAAATATGTATAATAAATCATGTGATATATGTATAATAAATCATGTGAAATATCCTCTTAACGAAATGTGATATATCTCTTTATGAAATATCCGGAATATCCCTTAACATCTAAGCCTACCGAGCCTCCACGACTTCATGCGAAGGCGAAGAAGGCGACCGGAGATTTCGCCTAAGTCCCGCCTTAGTATGATACAACTCCGACTTACGTCGCGTCTCTATCGCACGATGAGTTAGATAGAGACAGAAGACTGCCGTACGTCGTGCATCGACTCTGATAGTACGCGATGTAGAAATGGCCGAACAAAGGAGAAGTGTCTAGCCCTAGCATTCAACTATTAAGCTTGACCAATCAGGTTGGTTAGCGTGGTTAATTGGAGAGTGTTAATTCATTTGTGTTTGTCAAAAACTCTAACATTATTGGTCGGGTTCAATAGTTGGTAGTGATGGGCTGGGATTGAATAACAATTGAAACTGTTCATAGTTATTTATAAAAACAACAAAATAACAGCTTAAAAATAACAGGTTTCTTTATTTTACTGCTAAATATCTGAAAGTATGAGGCGGTCACCGCCAGGCGTATTAGCGCAGTTGCAAGTTGCAACAATGACGTGCTCGGTGGTAATATTTCAGGGTGTCAAAACATTTCTAAATATCGATTGTTATCTAAAATACCTCTCTAAAAACGGTGGTTGTTTACAAATAAGCGCTATTTACAAATTTTGATATAAAGCCAAGAAATTCCGCCACTCATACCTATACATTCCGATCTACCGCCCCTCGATCCGCGTAGATCCTGAATTGAGTAGTAGTGTACAGGGTGCATCTTACTCGACGGGCGAGAAGCTCTTAGTTATGATTTTCCCATTTGCGGTCAAAAAATAACAATATAAGAAAATGTGTAGTATATTCTTCATAACTTCACACTAGAGTTCGAATTTATTTTAAACTTAAACTAGCGTGTACCCGCGACTTCGTTCGTATCGAATTAATAATTTCTAATGGTGATGATAAAGCAAAACAAGAATTTCCATTAACATACAGACTGGATAAAATTTTTTCTCACATGTGCCAAAATAACCTTTAAACGTCGAGCAGTTTAAACAGAATCGCGATTAATCAACAGCTTTTTAAAGCCACATAACTAGCATGATTTTTTGAAAAAATTTTTTTTTTATATGTAAAAAACAAAATAAATTATGCGTGTCAGGCGTTTTCCCGAAAGACTAACCGTTTTTTAAATAACAAAATATTGTAATATTTGAGGGCGTTTTCACCCTGTTGGAATTTGAGATTCGAAGCCCTCCATATCGAACCTCAACCCCACAGTCATTCCGTTTGCCAAAAATCAGCTTTAAACGTCAAGCAGTTTAAGCAGAATAGTGATTACTCAATGTCTATTTTTATGAAATACCCTGTATATATTTTTTAAAAAATCTGAATATATGTAAAACAAGATAATAAAATATACGTGTTTTAAGAGTTTTCGAAAAAACTCACAGTTTTAAATAATATTCTAATATTTGGTAGTTTCACCCCCTTAAATTCGAGTTTCAAAAATCCCTTCTTATCGAACCTCTACTAAAGTCAATCGTTTCCAGAAATCAGCTTTTACATCAAGAGGCTACAGGATCGTTAATCAACATTGAATTTTTCTAAAACACTGTATACATTTTAAAAATCTTAAAATATTATTCTGAAAATTTTTCAGAATAAATAAATACTAAATATTAAACTTAAGAGTAAGTACTGAAAGATACAGCGCCATAATGTCTCGACCTCCGCCCGTTATGCTCGTAGCAGGTTGAAAAACAATGTACTATCTAAAATAACTGATGCGTTATTCTCCAAACTGTTTCGAACCTCCATCGACAATCGACCGATGCAGCAGCGTTCCTTTCCCTCTCCGATTATCTCGACCGCTGCCTGTTATGCTCGTAACAGGTTGAAAAACAACGTATCTAAAATGACTGCTTCTCAACCCGTTGCGAGCCTCCATCGACAATCGACCGATGCAGCAGCTTTCCTTTCCCCCTCCTGTTATCTCGACCGCCAGCCGCCAGGCGTTATGCCCGCCACTGTTTCAAAAAACCTGCTTCTTTTTATATCCTATTATTATTTTTAAGCGGTCTCGACCGAAGCAGCTACGTTCACCGAAGCGCATTCCCCACTCCGTTGTCCGTTGTCTCGCCGCCTGTATCGATGGTTGACGAAATAACATGTTTCCATCCATACTAGTTGTTTTTGGAATTGCTTCGAGCAGCATAGAATTTCGTGACGATGCAGAGCGACTTCGTTTTACGTTTTACGAGCGGCCGATCTCCTATCGTTATTTTTTATATCTGTTATTTTTTAAGTAGTAACAGTTTGCGTTATGTTATTTATAAATAATTGTTATAAAATAACAGATAGTTAAATAACAACCCATCACTACCTGCTGGGGCTAGACACAAGTGAACAAAGGCACTCCAACAGTCAAAATTATTTTTGTTTTTCTAACGCGCACCGGCACAGCCAGCGGTCACCATACGCCAGCGGTAGTGTTAATATACAAGACCACAATATTAAATAATGATTAAAAAACACACTTTCGTGTATTAACAATATCTTTACCATATTAACGTACTAGTAAAATAATGTAATTTAATAAATCGCTTCAATTCTGCCAAAATCTTAGGGTAGCGCCGCCTACCTTGCCTACCCTGACGAGCCGCCACTGGTGTTAGTGTGCTTCGGAAACACGTCAAAAAATTTCATCCGAATCAGATAGATGAAATAGCACCTTTAAAAACTAAAAAGTTTTTTTTTTTTTTTTATTCAATAATTTTGTAATAAACATTTTTTTTTTTTTTTTAAATGGAAGTAGTTAGAAAAACTTAACAATTTAGAGTTTAAATCATATGCGCAAGTGGGACAAGGTAATTGACCTAATTATCAAAGCTTCTTTGAATCAAAGAAGTGAGCCAGAGTCAAGTGTAAGTATTTGAGGAGTCACGGTAAGCTAGGATATTAGTAATGATGGTGAATATACTTTGACTGTGTCTTTCTTTGTCTTCTTTAGAATGGAAAATTTGATCTTAATATCTTTGATTGAGGGATAATAATAGAACTGTTTTAGATGATGGTTTAAATAATACCAATATCCCTGTACAAAATATTAGAAAAAAATGTCTTGTGTGATGTGTGATTTTAAAATACATTAGATATTTACTAGAGATTTAAACATATTTCTTTAACATTATTAAATATTAGATTGTTTACTTCTTTGACATACAATTGTCCCAAAGAGTGCAAACGTGTTTTAAGGGGTGCAATGGTAGATCTCAACTAACATAACTAAACATATTTTCTCTTAGTTATTTTACTTTTGAAGAAAATTATTTTTTTACTAAAATATTGCCAAACTACTGGATCTTTCTAGATTTTCTTTCTTGTAAATTTAATCTACTACCTATGTTGCCATAGTATCTAGCAATTATGTTTTAACTAAAAATTAAAAAAATTCCAATTTTTTTTTTTTTGCGAAAAAAACCTCATAGGCGTGTTTCTGGGGTTAAACTATACTACCAGTTAAAATACTTACTTATTTCTGGAACACCATGTATAACAGAGAATAAACAACCTACACTAAAACGCAGAAAAATTGATATTCATTTCACGTATTCTTACTTTATCTAGTATTCTGATTATTATTAAGAACGTTCTAACAAATAAACCAAATAAAATATCAATCAAACTTTGAAATAAACTGTAGAAATAAAACGTCTCTAGTTTAGCTGACAATTGAAAATCATGAAATTAAGGGACAACAAACGGCAACATTTTTGGGTATGCGAGTTGACTAGTGGGACGTAGAAGTTAGTCCTAATACATGCTTTAAGTTTGTACTTATTACCAAATTCCTAAATTTTTTATTATGGGAGCTACAGATGTTCGACGCATTGTTGCCGGACCCGTATGAAATAGTACGAAATATTTTCAACTTTTTTTTTTTTTTTTTTTTAAAATTAGGTTTTGATTGAAAATATGATGAACGTAATAATCCTGCACTATAACGATTAAAATATTTAACAAGGTTAAGTTTTCTTACTGTTAGATTTTGGGGTATTTTTGTAATTCTGGCCCGGATTACCCTGGTTGTAAATCCCGGACATATGAATTCGGACGTATGAAAACCATAGTTTTTGGGCAAATGTATGTAGGTCTGGATTAGACTTTTACCTTAAATAAGCTTTTTTGGTTAACGCATATAAGGCATATTAAATTCAAATCAAAGAGGAGTTACTATAATATAATAAAATTATATGAATTGATTATTTATAAATTAAAATGTTTTTAGTTTTCATTAACCTCGTCTTATTATCGTTTTAATTTTACAGGAGTGAAACAGCACCAATTGCAGTGGGCTCAACGCTAGCTATAGCTGCTTTAGCAACTGTCACAGGATACATAATAAATAAGTGAAATGAATACCAGTATTTCTAATAGCAGTGTTTGCTGCGAATGTAATCGCAGTTTTGTGTTTTTTAGTCAATGGCGGCTCGTGACCCGTGTGACTGGGTAGGCAACAAAATTTTAGTTGCGTCTATTTGCCCTTCCTCTCCCCCAATTTACATAATACTCTAGCCCAGTTTGTAAATGTATGTAATATCTGTTGTATCGTCTTCTTGCACCGAATAAAATAACGCGCTTTTTATTTCGGATTCTTTTATTTCTGTGGCGTGTTCTAAAATACAACCGGTTATATCATTTTTAATAATCTCGGACAAGCCCGAAAAATGTTTCCAATTTGCTTTAAACGTTTTTTGAATTTTCATATAAAAGTTTTATATTAAATATGTATAATAAATCATGTGATATATGTATAATAAATCATGTGAAATATCCTCTTAACGAAATATGATATATCTCTTTATGAAATATCCGGAATATCCCCTTAACATCTAAGCCTACCGAGCCTCCACGACTTCATGCGAAGGCGAAGAAGGCGACCGGAGATTTCGCCTAAGCCCTGCCTTAATATGATACACAACTCCGACTTACGTCGCGTCTCTATCGCACGATGAGTTAGATAGAGACAGAAGACTGCCGTACGTCGTGCATCGACTCTGATAGTACGCGATGTAGAAATGGCCGAACAAAGGAGAAGTGTCTAGCCCTAGCAGGCAACTATTAAGCTTGACCAATCAGGTTGGTTAGCGTGGTTAATTGGAGGGTGTTAATTCATTTGTGTTTGTCAAAAACTCTAACATTATTGGTCGGGTTTAATAGTTGCCTGCTGGTAGTGATGGGCTGGATTAGATAACAGTTGAAACTGTTATAGTTATTTATAAAAAACAGCTTAAAATAACAGCTTAAAAATAACAGGTTTCTTTATTTTACTGCTAAATATCTGAAAGTATGAGGCGGTCACCGCCAGGCGTATTAACGCAGTTGCAAGTTGCAACAATGACGTGCTCGGTGGTAATATTTCCAGGGTGTCAAAACATTTCTAAATATCGATTGTTATCTAAAATACCTCTCTAAAAACGGGGGTTGTTTACAAATAAGCGCTGTTTACAAATTGCGATATAAAAAAGCCAAAATGCCGCCACTCGTCTATACCTATACATTCCGATCTACCTACGCCCTGCCCCTCGATCCGCGTAGATCCTGAATTGCGTAGCAGTGTACAGGGTGCATCTCACTTGACGGGCGAGAAGCTCTTAGTATGATTTTACCATTTGCGGTCAAAAAATAGCAATATAACAAAATGTGTAGTATATTCTTCATAAGTAAATCAACTACACACTAGAGTTCGAATTAATTTTACACTTAAACTAGCATGTACCCGCCACTTCGTTCGCGTCGAATTATTAATTTGTAATGGTGATGATAAAGCAAAGCAAGAATTTCCATTAACATACAAACTGGATAAAATTTTCTCACATTTGCCAAAAATAAGCTTTAAACGTCGAGCAGTTTAAGCAGAATCGTGGTTAATCAATTACCTACTCAACTTTTTGGAACACCCTGTATTATTTTTTAAAAATTTCAAAATTTGTAAAAGAACAAAATAAATTATGCGTGTCCAATCGTTTTCCCGAAAGACTAACCGTTTTTTAAATAACAAATATTGTAATATTTGAGAGGCGTTTTCACCCTCTTGGAATTTGAGATTCGAGAAACCCTCCCTTATCGAATCTCTACACCCCACAGTCAATCCATTTGCCAAAAATCAGCTTTAAAGGTCAAGCAGTTTAAGCAGAATCATGATTACTCAGTGGTTATATTTTATGAAACACCCTGTACCTATATATTTTTTAAAAATCTCAAAATATGAAAAACAACAAAATAAAATATACGTGTTTAAGAGTTTTTTCGAAACTCACCAGTTTTTAAATAAAAAATATTCTAATATTTGAGGGTGGTTTCACCCTCTTAGAATTTGAGTTTCGAAAAATCCCTTCTTATCGAACCTCTACACCCTAAAGTCAATCCGTTTTCCAAAAATCAGCTTTTTATGTCAAGGGCTTTAAGCAGGTTCGTGATTAATCAATGACCAGATTTTTCAAAACACCCTGTATACATTTTTAAAAAATCTTAAAATATTATTATGAAAATTTTTCAGAATAAATAAATACCTAAATATTGAAACTTAATAACAAAGTACTGAAACATACAGCGCCATAATATCTCGACCTCCGCCCGTTATGCTCGTAACAGGTGAAAAACAATGTACTATCTAAAATAACTGATGCGTTATTCTCCAAACTGTTTCGAACCTCCATCGACAATCGACCGATGCAGCGGCGTTCCTTTCCCACTCCCGATTATCTCGACCACCGCCCTGTTATGCTCGTAACAGGTTGAAAAACAACGTATCTAAAATGACTGCTTCTCCAACCCGTTGCGAGCCTCCATCGACAATCGACCGATGCAGCAGCTTTCCTTTCCCACTCCTGTTATCTCGACCGCCAGGCGTTATGCCCGCAACTGTTTCAAAAAACCTGCTTCTTTTATATCCTATTATTTTTAAGCGGTCTCGACCGAAGCAGCTACGTTCACCGAAGCGCATTCCCCACTCCGTTGTCCGTTGTCTCGCCGCCTGTATCGATGGTTGACGAAATAACATGTTTCCATCCATACTAGTTGTTTTTTGGAATTGCTTCGAGCAGCATAGAATTTCGTGACGGTGCAGAGCGCCGACTTCGTTTTACGTTTTACGAGCGGCCGATCTCTACCTGTCGTTATTTTATATCTGTTATTTTTTAGAAGTAGTAACGGTTGCGTTATGTTATTTATAAATAATTGTTATAAAATAACAGATAGTTAAATAACAACCCATCACTACCTGCTGGGGCTAGACACAAGTGAACAAAGGCACTCCAACAGTCAAAATTATTTTGTTTTCTAACGCACCGGCACAGCCAGCGGTCACCGTACGCCAGCGGTAGTGTTAATATACAAGACCACAAATATTAAAATAATATGGATTATTAAAACACACTTTCGTGTATTAACAGTATCTTTATGTATTGGCAACATTACTAGTAAATAATGTAATTTAATAAATCGCTTCAATTCTGCCAAAATCTTAGGGTAGCGCCGCCTACCTTGCCTACCCTGACGAGCCGCCACTGGTGTTAGTGTGCTTCGGAAACACGTCAAAAAATTTCATCCGAATCAGATAGAGGAAATAGCACCTTTAAAAACTAAAGTACCTATATGCATTTACCTGCGAATTTTGTAATAAACATTTTAGTGCAAAAGAGTAGTTAGAAGAGCTTAGCAATTTAGAGTTTAAAATCATATGCGCAAGTGGGACAAGGTAATTGACCTAATTATCAAAGCTTCTTTGAATCAAAGAAGTGAGCCAGAGTCAAGTGTAAGTATTTGAGGAGTCACGGTAAGCTAGGATATTAGTAATGATGGTGAATATACTTTGACTGTGTCTTTCTTTGTCTTCTTTAAGAATGGAAAATTTGATCTTAATATCTTTGATTGAGGGATAATAATAGAACTGTTTTAGATGATGGTTTAAATAATACCAATATCCCTGTACAAAATATTAGAAAAAAATGTCTTGTGTGATGTGTGATTTTAAAATACATTAGATATTTACTAGAGATTTAAACATATTTCTTTAAACAATCTCTAGTAAATATTAGATTTTTTGTTTACTTCTTTGACATATATACAGGGTGTCCCAGAAAGTGCAAGTATTTTAAGGGGTGCAATGGTAGATCTCAACTAACATAACTAAACATATTTTCTCTTAGTTATTTTACTTTTGAAGAAAATTATTTTTTACTAAAATATTGCCAAACTACTGGATCTTTTCTAGATTTTCTTTCTTGTAAATTTAATCTACTACCTATGTTGCCATAGTATCTAGCAATTATGTTTTTTAACTAAAAATTAAAAAAAATTCCAATTTTTTTTTTTTTGCGAAAAAAACCTCATAGGCGTGTTTCTGGGGTTAAACTATACTACCAGTTAAAATACTTGCACTTATTTCTGCGACACCTTGTATAACAGAATAAACAACCTACACTAAAACGCAGAAAAATTGATATTCATTTCACGTATTCTTACTTTATCTAGTATTCTGATTATTATTAAGAACGTTCTAACAAAATAAACCAAATAAAATATCAATCAAACTTTGAAATAAACTGTAAAAATAAACGTCTCTAGTTTAGCTGACAATTGAAAATCATGAAATTAAGGGACAACAAACGGTAACGTTTTTGGGTATGCGAGTTGACTAGTGGGACGTAGAAGTTAGTCCTAATACATACTTTAAGTTTGTACTTATTACCAAATTCCTAAATTTTTTATTATAGGAGCTACAGATGTTCGACGCATTGTTGCCGGACCCGTATGAAATAGTACGAAATATTTTCAACTGTGGCAACCCCTATTTAGAGTAACTTTTTGGCACCTTGTTAAAAATATGATGAACGTAATAATCCTGCACTATAACGATTAAAATATTCAACAAGGTTAAGTTATTTTTACTGTTAGATTTTTGGGGTATTTTTTGTAATTCTGGCCGGATTACCCTGGTTACCTTAAAATCCCGGACATATGAATTCGGACGTATGAAAACCATAGTTTTTGGGCAAATGTATGTAGGTCTGGATTAGACTTTTACCTTAAATAAGCTTTTTTGGTTAACGCATATAAGGCATATTAAATTCAAATCAAAGAGGAGTTACTATAATATAATAAAATTATATGAATTGATTATTTATAAATTAAAATGTTTTTAGTTTTCATTAACCTCGTCTTATTATCGTTTTAATTTTACAGGAGTGAAACAGCACCAATTGCAGTGGGCTCAACGCTAGCTATAGCTGCTTTAGCAACTGTCACAGGATACATATTAGATGGGTATACAATGACAGTTATATATTCTAGTTAATACATTGTAATATAAACATAGGGTGGGAGTTTCCAGTTCCCACATTCTGTTGTAGAAGGAATTTCCATTAAGCGAGATTAATATGTATATCACTTGAAAGAAACTCCCTCGAGTCATACAGTGGATTTTCAAGTAACCAGCCACGAACCCTGCCCTTAAACACCCTATCGGACAATAGTTTATACCCATCCGGAAGTTGTAAAACTTGTAAAACTTCACACCCCAGTATCTAGGTCCATCTCGAGACCTTTCTAATCTATGTATAGGGATACTGAGGTGCTCCGCCCTACGAGTGTCATGAGAGCCGTCCTGAGCATTTGTGGGATATTTTTCCGTATTGGCTTTAACATATAATAGATTTTCCAATATATAAAGATTTGGGAGAGTAAGTATATTTAACATTTTAAAGGTTTCCCTGCAATCATCCCTGTAGCCCAATCCTCCGACAACTCTCACAGCCCTCCTCTGAGCGCGAAAACCCTGCGCCACTGAGGTGCGTGACCCCAAGCCAAAACAGCGTGGGACATTACAGAATGAAAAAAGAGCGTAGTAAGCCGTCCGCAATACGCAACAGGAAACAGTACCCTGACAAATTACGCAGAACGAAAGGGCGCGCTTCTTAGCTTCTTGCATAGTTGCTCAATATGAGCATTCCATCTCATTTCACTGTCCAACTGAACCCCTAAAATGGACAGATTCCCTGGAGAAGCGACAGTCCTCAGGCACACTCCTCAAAGAAAAAATTTCACGATTTGTTTTTGGCCTCATTTAAAACTAGGTTATTTTTCCGAACCAGTCAGCCGCCCTCGCTTGTTAGAGTTACTATAATATAATAAAATTATATGAATTGATTATTTATAAATTAAAAAATGTTTTAGTTTTCATTAACCTCGTCTTATTATCGTTTTAATTTTACAGGAGAAACAGCACCAATTGCAGTGGGCTCAACGCTAGCTATAGCTGCTTTTAGCAACTGTCACAGGATACGGAGTATTTAGGTATTTTAAAGTAAAAAATGTCCAGTATAACACCATGGAATAAGCGTTTTTTTAATTTTATTGTAAATTAATATTTCTTATTACTACTTTAATTTGTTAGACTTAGAGCAAATCAAGTATCGAATTTCAACGTTAATTACATAGCTATTTATTAATTATTGCTAGATCTGATATTCTAATATACTCTAATATCTATATAAAATGATAGCTCATTCCAATATTTTAAGAAATAAACCTAGAACGCACTGAACATATTTGATATTTCGCACATTTTATCAACTTTTTGTATTTCTTCCGTATGCACAAATTTATAGCGTAGCATCTAAGATAGTGAAATCGTAAATATTGAAGAAACTTTTGTAACAATGTACTTAAAAGAGTAGTTAGTACACCCTGTATATAAATGGAGAAAGTCCCTGAAGCTCAAAGATGGATGACTTAAAATTTAGTTTTGTGACAAATTTATTGGTGAAAGCATAATAATTGCACTCACCAAAAATGCCAAGTTTTTCAATATAGTTTTATTAATTTTAAATTAAATGCCTTAAAATACCAAAACTATAATAAGGAACATTAAAAAGGTAATAGTAAGGATGGTCTTTTAAACAAATTTAATGATTTAATACGTTATGGTATTATTTGTGAGAATGTTTTAGTAATTTATATAGAGTTTTTATATAAATAAATTATTGTACAAAGAGAAAGAAAATAGTATTATGTATTTAGAAATAAGAATTAATTGTTCTTGCCTAGTATTTGGAATTTGTGATCAAATCTATACTATGATAATTTCAGTTTGGCATAAGCTCAGTTAATTTTTTTTTATTTTTTTAATAAAATATGTAAACCCATGAATTTTTTGAAGTTCATATTATTAGCAATTTTAATCTGTACTTAACCTGATAAATTTGTTGCTTAACTAAATTTTTATACTGTCGTTTTACACTGTTTTTCTAATATTTTTCTTTGCTCATATATCGGTAGTATTATATACAGGGTTGTCAACAATTGCTTAAAAATATTTATCTTATGGAATAAAAATTCTGAAGAATCAGCTTATGGATGTAGCTTATACAGGTGTCCCAGAAATAAGCGCAAGTATTTTAAGAGGTGTTAGAAAGAATTTTCAAACAAATTTTTTCGCGAAAAACCTCATTGGCGTGTTTCTGGGGTTGAACTATACTACCAGTTAAAATACTTGCACTTATTTCTGGGACACTCTGTGTAGGGATGCAATAAGAGCATAATCTAAAATACATCTTTTAATACTTATTTAAGAATACAGGGTGTTTTAGAAAAGCATAGGACACGAAAATGTAATTCTTTAAGTGGGTTTAATCATTAACTTTAATTATTTGGTTTCATTTTTAAGTTTTTTATCTGAACATTTTTGACTTTCTTAAAATTCATTATGGGTATTGGCATAAGTTTAAAAACAAAAACAACAAAAATAAATAAATATTCTTTGTATTACGCCCTCTCCTGCCGAAGGTTGGCGATCAAATGGCAATGTGGCTCTGAAACTGCACCCCGGAAGATTTTCACAGACGAGCGTTTAAACCATCTTCTTAAATCTTTTAGCCATGAGTTCTGGCGTCTTCCTACTGATCTTTCCCTTGCACTTTGCCCTCTATTATGAGGCGCAGTATTTCGTATCTACCACCTCTCATCATCACAGACCCAGGTATTGCATTTTTTCTTTTCCTTGATGGTGTTCAGTATCTCTCTTTTTGTTTCTGCATGCGCTGGAGTACTTCATTGTTGGTGATCCATCATACATTTCTGAAAGCTTCTATTCTCTCTTTTCGGTCTGTGAATCCAGTGTCCAGCTCTCACATCCATAGAGGTAACACAGAGAAGACAGTATTAAAAAAATATAAGGCGATGTTTTCTTGAAAACCAGTAAAATAAATAAATAATTTTTATATATTATTAAAATATATGAAAAATCTATGAAAAAGCGCTCTCTCTACATATATATAACATATAAATTTTACGTATATATATATATCATATCCGTAAATGTTTCTTCTGAAATTTAAATCGTCAATATATATATATATGTGGTGATTCATATTTCATATTCTATATGCAATATACATATATATATTATATTATATATATATATATATATATAAAAATAATTTAATCAAAAATATTAGGGCACTTTGCTATATAGAGTTTTTGTCTTAAATAGTAACTAAGAGAAGTAAGCCTTGTTCAAAACGTCTTACTAACGTATATTTATATCTTGTTCTTGTAATAATGGAGAATATTAAAAAAGAAATAATTAACTCTTAACTCCAGTCTCGGGACAAAAAACTATGCCAAGTATATCTTTGTAGCTAATTAGTGAAATGCTCATAATAAAGTAGCACTTATTTTTTATTCTTGTAAATTTCTTATTATTAGATGCTGTTCAATATTTAGTAAACGGTAAAAGATATTTTACAGTATTTTTTCCAAAATGCGCATTATTTCATCAAAACTCATTTGATGCACATACTATACAAAGTAGCAGACATTTTGAATAAACTTATGCTATATCAAAATTCAATAAAACTTCTACTACTCGTATATGTATTAAAATTCTCATTTTAAAACTGATTATTAGATATAATATGTATAATTAGAATATTATCTATTATAATAAGAATGTTCTGAAATTAGCAATTGAATTAAATAAATGAATGGTTTTGCATGGAACAAAATTATAAATAAAGAATATGTCAGTTTGAAATATATTTTAGATCAGGTGGTTTTCAAATCTGTATTAATGGGCATTCAGAAATATACATCTTCCAGCTGTTTCCATATTAGTGTCTTTATATACAATGTGATCAAAAAGTTTTATATTGAAGCCCTTTTTTAATGATGACGGATAAACAATTTTTACGGAAAATTGCATTAGAATTTTTTAATTATCACAGTCAAAATCCTTTTGAATATAAAACTTTTTGATTTTACGGTATGTATCAAATTAAACAATTAAAACAACTTTAGGTGTACGTCATCAATGACACCATGCGTCGTCTTATGGAATTTGCTGGTGGTCGTATTATGATGTGCAACCAAAGTTAATTTAATTTCCCTATATTATGTCAAATTCAAGAGAGGTAATAACTATTGATTTGTTTTTAGAATAAATCTGATTGATATCTACTGAAACAAACTCTTGACGTCAAGTAAAACATATATCCGTAATAAGTAAAATATAATTATAGTTTGACAGATTTTGATATTTATTGATTTACATTCAATGTATAATTATAATATATTTTCAGTATACATATCAGTAATGAGTATTTATTAAAACTTTCATTAATTATGTATATTTATAATGTCTCTGAAAATGTGTTGTATTTTTGTAAATATTCCCTAATCGACCAGTTAATGTTATTGATGCATTTACCAAAGAGAGAATTTGTATAGAAAATGAAATAGTTTTTTTGATGGTAATTTTTATTATATGAATTTACACAAAATGAAAGATGTATGATTTTGATTAATGTAATGATTTCCATCATTACGTGGTTGGCTTGAAAACTATTTAATTTTTATATTGAATAGGTTAAGATATTTGCAATAACATTTAAGGTATATTATTGCAAAATATTTGTATTTCAGCAGACCATCCTTTATCAAGCAAATTTTAAATTAATTGAATTTTAGTTTTTCATTATGCCATTTTTAAGACTCCTATAAAATGTTTTAATGTTTTAATATTAACTTATTCTCTTACAATATATTTAAAAATGGGGAGTGAAATATGTAAGACTCGGTATTACTTAACTTATTGTATCGTCTGTTAAATTATTTTTTTTAGTTGCTTATTAATAAATATGTCCGTAAAATAATTTAATCAGATCATCCAGGGTAATACAAATTCGAAACCTACCAGTGGGATCCCGAAAACTATAGCAGGTAAGAAGATGGTTATGTTAGGTTAGGTTAGGTTGCTGGGGTTTGGGATGATGTTTGATACTTCACTCGGAGGCCTTGGGCCCATTACAATACCCCTGTATTATTGTACTATACCTTCCTCTCATTCCTTCTTTGCGTTAAAGCACTTCCAGCTCTTTGCAAAGCTTCCGATGTCGCTGGTGTTGGCTTTTGCTGCTTCCTCTAGTCCCTCTAAAAAACCTTGCCCTAAAGTTTTAAAGCGTCGGTATTCCAGTACCGGACAGTGGCACAGCTGGTGCTCTATAGTTTCTTCTTCCTTTCCGCATTCTTTGCAGTAGTCGTCGTTGAAAATCTACCATCTCACGAGGTTTACCTCCGTGGGTCAGTTTCCAGTGATGACACCTAGAATTATGTGTACTAGTTTCTTTTTACGCTCTAGTAGTTGTTTTGTCTTTATGCTACCTTCCAGTGACGACAGTCTTCGAGCTGTAGCGCAATCCTCAAGGTGTTACCACATCTCTTGCTGCTTGGCCTTGATAGTGGTTCCTATAGCTTCCTTCAGTGTGTTGATCGTCACAAGTGGTGGGTCATCTGCCACGGCCTCTTCCCTGGCCCCTTCTTTGGCTAGTTTGTCCGCTTCTTAATTGCTCACCACATTGCTGTGGCATGGCACCCAGTACAGAGTACCCCGCCTTAACGCAGCCAGGACAGTGTTTCTTGGCAGTCCATTACAGTTTTCGATCTTACTGATTGCATGGTGATGTTTCTTAAAGCGCCCAAGCTGTCAGAGATATCTCCTATTGGTGTATCAGCGATTTTTGCTCGTATACAAATGGCCAATTCCTTTATGGCGTAAACCTCTGCTTCTACATTACAGCTATCCGCTAGCCTTAAAGATCGTCGGATGTCTAGTTCCTTTGAGAAGATGCCAATACCTGTGCCTCCTGATGTTACGGAAGCATCTGTGTAGACTGCTATCTCTTGAGTGTTCATAGAAGATGATAGTGAAGACGATGATGCTGAAGAAGATACATGAAAACTAGATTAGACATAATAGTAGATAATTCCGTAATTTATGCTAATTACTAATTCACTTTTCGGTTTTTCTCAAGGTCTTTGTTATAAGAGAGATTGCAGAGA